AGAGAGAGAGAGAGAGAGAGAGAGAGAGAGAGAGAGAGAGAGAGAGAGAGAGAGAGAGAAGGCCATAGTGCAATCATACTCGACTTATTCACACTTCATCATGCTTACAAACAGCGATACAGCGAACTGGCGACATGCGCCCACACAGTACCCAAAGATATCGTAACCAGATATGAGTTCTCTTCCAACTGGCTATGGCGACTGTGCGCCCATACAACTCACTGTTCACACTCGAGATCACCCTGGATGTCCCACACGCGACACTCAATGTTCATACACAACACACACACACTAGGTACTTACCTGGGTTAGATGTGACCTGCAGAGGTGGCGCTGAAGAAATAGTGACCACATTGACGACTTGGAGATTGTCTGCAGATGTAGCGCTGATACATTGGAAGCCATATTGATGAGTTGATAAGAGATTGGTATTGGGCTGATGAGCGCTGGACTCAGGGGAACTTTGAAACACTTTGTATTCATATTTCTGATAATATAAGTTGTGAAACTCGGTCCTCTTCTACCTTTGTCTAAGGTTGATACTATTAATCACTGCGTGTGAAGTTGATGCATGACATGTACACATTTGCGTGAGATGGTCCCTAGGACCCATGCAGAGAGAGGGAGAGAGAGAGATTTCTTCTTCTTCTTCTTCTTCTTCTTCTTCTTCTTCTTCTTCTTCTCTTTCTTCTTCTTCTTTTATTTTTTTCCTTCTTCTTCTTCCTACTCGTTACGCAGCTCGTGCGCGTGTACCAGGAGAGAGAGAGAGAGAGAGAGAGAGAGAGAGAGAGAGAGAGAGAGATTTTTTTTGTTGTTGTCTTCGTCTTCACGGGGCTCTCCGCGATGCCATGAGGGCCCTGGCTGCTCGGTCCCAGATGGGTGTGTTCGCCGCGCGGCCGCCGCACGCCATCGCCGCGCGACGATTTTAGTGCCCGGCCTCGGCCGAACACGGCCGCACACAGCCGAACGCGGCCGCATCGGCCGAGATCAGTCGGACTTGCCATGACAGCGGGAGAGGCTGGGGCCATGACCCCTCGGGTGGGCCGGTGAGCTGTTCAGGGTGGGGGGCCGCGAGGGTGCCGTCAGGGGTAAGTTTTTCAAGCGGGTGGCGGGGACTTCATCGACGGTGTGGAGCGAGCGATGACATTGACGAACGGGCCGAGGACTTCGACGCGCAGGGTTGGCTGTGCATACCAGCCTGCAGAGTTGGGGGACGATGACTGGGGGGCCGGGGACCAGCGGTGCAGGGGGGTCTGGGGGTGGGAGGTTCATCCCACAGTCTGAAAGGGAGATGGCGAGGTTGAGGCGGGGCAACATGGTGTGGAACTTCGTCACCGCGGGCCAACTTGTGGGGGACCAGTCGAAGATGCATGGGGACCGGAAGTTATGTTGCAACTTTTGCAGCCACGTCTAGCAGGGGAACGCGACGAAGGTCGCTCGCCATTTCACGCAGCCGAAGTACTGCAAGGTTGCGGGGATGAGAGTTCTCGCGGATCTCTGGAACGACACCGACTACAAGTTTGTTGACAGCACTGCTCGGCGGGTGCAAAGGTGGATGGCTGAGGAGGGGATACGGGACACGAGAGCACCTGTGGGTGGGCAGCGGCCACGGACGGACGACGCAGAGAGGGACGAGATTCAGGACGTCCTCGATGAGCAGGAGGGGGGCGAGGGTGGGGTCGGCGAGGCGGGGATGCGAGACGACGCAGTCCGAGGCCCTGACCTGCCAGGGGAGGAGGTAGTGATGACGTCCAGAGGGGTTGGGCCAGCGGGTCACGCTGCAAGGGCATCACGAGCTGAGTTGGACCGCGCGAGGACGGATAAGAGGAAAGTGGGGGAGGCGGACGTCGACGTGCGGGACACGACGAGGGAGAAGAGGGCACGGCAGGCGACGATCGAGGAGATGTACGGCAAGGAGAAGTTGGCCGAGTTCTCAGACGCGTGGCTGCAGTCGATCTACGCGAAGGGGTTGCCATTCAACGCCTTCCGAGGGCCGGAGTTCCAGAGGGTTCGCCGGGCGGCAGAGAGAGTACCCCGCACAGTTCGGTTCCAGTTTCCCTCGTACAGGGTTACAGCGGGCGCAGAGATCCCTTCGCAGAGGACGAAGGTAGCGTCGATGGTGAGCGAGGTGCGCTCCGCTTTCCAGCACACCGGTGCCACCATCCTCTCCGACGGAAGGAAGTCACGTAGCGGCAAGCCGCTCGTGAACTTCTTGGTTGGGGGCTCGAACGGCGCCCTGCTGTACGCCACTGTCTCACGTGACGGGTCTGTCCGCGATACGGCGAATATCGTGTATCGCAGGTGGCAGACCATCATCCTGTCCTTTTCTGCAAAGGACGTGATCGGCTTCCGCACGGACTCCGCCAGTAACTATACGGCGGCGGCACGCAGATTCGCCACAGACCCTTATGCGGACATTAGGAGGATCGCTTGGCTTCCTTGCTCCTCCCACGTCTGCAACTTGATGTTGTCAGATGTCGGGACGCGAGCAGGGTGGGTCAAGGAGACCATCATCCATGCCCGAGCATTAGTGCGATTTATTAAATCGCACGGCGCTGCTCACACCCTTTTTAGGAAGTTGAGCCCTCGCGTCATGCTCGTCGAGCCCGTTGAGACCCGGTTTGCATCGGTTTTCTTGATGCTGACGTGTCTCAAACGCCGGCGGGACGCGCTGGAGAGCATGCTGCACGACAATGTGTGGGCATGCATCTTGCGAGAGCGTAGGCTTATCGCCCAGGCGCAGTGGGTGCAGCAACAGATCCGCGATAGGGAGTTTTTGCGTTGTGTTGACTGTTCCATCCGCGTTATGGCGCCCGTCCACCAGCTACTGAGGAGGATGGATAGGGGGGGGATGATGATGTCCATCATGTGCGAGTGGAGTCAGCATCTACTCGAGTTGATTAGGAGGGTGGATGTGCCGGCGGACATGGTCGAGCCGTGCGTGCGCGAGGTTGCCATCCGCAACCTCCACATGCTCGAGCCCGCACATGCCGTGACACACCTCCTCAACCCTTATCGGCGGTCCCTTCGATATCATGAGTCATTGCAGACTACCAGTGACGACGCCCGTGTGGTCGAGGAGTGCAACAGATTTCTGCTCGCACAGACCGGCGACGATCCGGTCGGCAGATTGTACATGACCGTGCGAGACCAGATGACAGCGAGAGACAATTGTTGTAGAGGAGGCCGAGGACGAGGACGCTGACACAGAGCTCGAGCCGATCGACAGTGAGGTCCGCAGATACAGATCGGTCGTGGCCGCGGCAGCCGCAGCAGCACAGGCGGCATACATCAGCGGTGCACAAGGCACAGGTGTTGGAGGCAGTGGAGGGGGCCCGAGAGGAGCGCAGAGTCGACAGTCCTCCAGGAGAGGCCACGCGTGTCCTCTTGAAGGGTGGGGCACAGACCGCTCATCTGGAGGGAGAGGGCGACGTTTGTGCTTTTTTTTTTTTTTTTTTTTTTTTTTGGCGGGACGTTCTGTTGATAGGGTAGTTTCATAGTTATGTTGATGTTGTTGCTCGATGTGCAGCGCCAGGTCCATTGTGACGGATGGTACGATCGCAGTACTTTTTTGTTAGCTACTATGTGTTACGGTTCAGATGACGGGTCCGGTTTTTGGCTTCGGGCATGTACATACGCATTTCCAGTGTAGTGTTTTTTCACTGCTTTGATATTCTCCACGTTCCTCTTCTACCCTCGCTTTTGCATGTGAGTCGCTGTTGTTTGCTGAGTGGTTTCTGGTTTGTTGCCGTGAATGTCCCCGATACAGCTGGTATTGTTCTCACAATGTTGCAAATCATGTCTTTGTCCAATGCCACTCACATGCAAGTCATGGTTGCCCCCATTGTGAATGTGTTGTGAATTTCGTATGCCAAACAGGGATGATATGCCAATGAATGTGTTGTTTCAAAAACTTTCACCAGCCTCACGAATGAACACACACATGCATGTTATGGTTGCCCACTTTGTGAATGTGTCGTGAATTTGGTATGTGAAATAGGGATGATATGGTAATGAATGTGTTGTTTCAAAAACTTTCACAAACTGTCACCAGCCTCACGAATGAAATTGATGTCTGCCTGACCTGCCTCTCGTCTGCCATCTGCACCCCCGCCCAACCCCCACCTGACCCCCACGCCCCAACCCAGCCCCCATCCAACCCCCGTTAAGCCATCCCCGCAGGTGTCGCAAATTTTTATTTTATTTTTCTTGTGTTGCCGACCCTCCTCCCTACGCACCTGCGTTGCCGAACCGCAACTCGGGGGATGCATGAATTCTCCCAGCCCACCCTGCCAGACCCATGTTTAGGACCCCCCCCGTTTTCTATTATTTTGACGGTCTGCCACTTCGACGGGTGCCCCCAACCCCCGCCACCTGAAACCCGCTCCCCGCTCCCAAGACCCCATCCCCGATCGGCCACGGCCGCGACCGGAAGTTCTCGGTCGGAGCGGCCGCGGCCGGGGGGGTCCCGCCCACGGTCGGCGGCCACGGCCACAACCGAACTCAGTCGTGGCCAGGGGGGAACATAGCAGCTATGCACAACATTGTTATATAGGTTGGTGACGAGAGGCAATTTCTCGTCCAAGTCATCCTGAGTTGGGTTGATGTAATGCCTTAGTAGGTGTTGCACTACTCTGTTCATTTGTTCCACCTGACCATTTGACTCAGGGTGATCCCTTGACGTCATCTGTCGTCTGGTACCCATCTGCTGGGCAGTGTTTTCGCCACAATTCGATTGTAAAGTGAACATCCCTGTCGCTGACAATGGACTTGGGTAAACCAAAGTCCCGTACCCAGTTATCCATAAACAACCTGATGACGTAGTCAGTTTTTGCGGTCTCTTGCATAGCGATTAGTCTTGCACACTTAGAAAACTGGTCCACTATAACGCAATGTGTCTTTTTCCAGTCCTGCTGGCCACAAGAGTATCCATGAAGTCCATGGACACACTCTGACCAGGAACTTCAGGAATCTGCAAGGGTTTGATAAGCCCAAGCGGCGCCTAAGTCCTAGGTTTGTCCCGTTGACGAACCTTGCAGGTTTCAACGTATCTTTTAGCATCTTACATCATAAAGGGCAACCAAAATCTCTGCACTAAGTTAGTTGACGTTTTCCTATAGCCAAAATGAGCAGTTGCATCATGACATGTGAATACAATTAAAAGTTGCAAAGGGCCCAATGTGACGCTTCCTACCAGGCCCAACGAAAAGTTATGGCCCACGACGCACCAGCGCGAGGCGTGGCGCACTAGCAGAACGTGACCAGTCAGGGGCGGGAAATTGCGGCACTGCGTGTGCCGAGGCGGGCGGGCAAGAGTGAAACGAGTGACGCGGGTGGGCCGAGGAGCGGGGGGCCAGCAAAGGGATGCGCCGGCCCAGGGCTCGCGAGTGGAGTTATTGAGCAGGCCAACGGAACGCTGGCAGACGTGGCCCGCGGGCAAGGGGAGGTCAGCGTAGGTGCAAGGGGCAGAGGGGATCGACACAAAGAGAGAGTGAGACTCTGTGAGAGAAAAAGAGAGAGAGAGAGACGAAGCGATCCAGGAGGAGGAGAAGTGGGAGGAGGAGGAACATGAGAAGGAACCGGGGGTAGAGCAGGAGAAGCAGCGGGAGAAGGAGGAAGAGTTGGAGGACCAGCAGGAGGGGGAGCGGGAGAAGGACGATCGATCATCTATTGTGGTTAAGTGGAGAGAGAGAGAGAGAGAGAGAGAGAGAGAGAGAGAGAGAGAGAGAGAGAGAGAGAGAGAGAGAGAGAGAGAGAGAG